AAGTAACGCATATTGAAAAGGTAAGCAGTCGTTGATTCAATGGAACTTATTATGGAAGAAATATATTCAAGCGTTTGCAAGATATGGAAGACGACAGAGGGTGCAAGCAGTCCCGAGTTAATATATAAGGGGGCAAGGGACCTAAAAATAAAAGATTTGTATTTCAGTGTGACCAGAAACACAATTCCAAATATTTCAAAATCTGTTTCACAGGCAGATAACCAGTTGAACAGCATTATTAAATGATATATGACATACATTGAAGAAAATAATAGTTTGCATGCATTGCTCATTCAAAAAATGACTGACAGCAATTTATATTTACCCCCCACCCAGCCAAAATCACACCTAAATTAAATATACCAATATGGGCAATCTTCATGAAGGTGCAACATACTCCAGAATCCGCCCAATTCCTTTAAAAATATCAGTAACACGCAGGGCAAACTATGACATTTTCAGAAATGACCAATAAAGTGTCTGTCATACGTTTAGAATTTTCACAAAATTTATCTGAAATTTCTTACTTGTTTGGCGCCAACAGTCCAAGCTTGATTTTTAACATTTCACCTCCATTCGGAGAGTCAGAAATAAATACAAAGCTACCAAAATGCTTAGTTTCGGGTAAAAACCCAAAAATACTTCTCATTTCCTACACACAAACAAGAAAGAATTACAATGACAGAGAAACATCAGAAGTTATCAGTACCTTCAAAACACCATGTCTGAGTTATTAAAAAATTTGACCGGGGCCATCATTCGAATATGTCCCCTGCAGTTAAGATATTTTATGTGATCCGCATTAAAGCGTTTCCTTTTATTTTCTTAAAATATGGAGTATTTCGCATTAAACGGTAACTTCGAAAAGTGTGTACTGCGATTACTTTGTATTAAATCAAAGATTTAAAAAAAGACCCTATTTCAGGGGAAGTAACTAGTACAATGTCCATGCCTGTTATATGATTTACTTAATGTCAAGTGCCAGGAACCTGTGAGATGGTCATTTTTCTGTATTCCACCTTCATTTAAATGCCATAAAATATTTTCAGAGTATGGAAGGAGATTATAGCAAGAAAAACAATATTACAGCCACATTTAATGTCCCAAAATGAATTTTACAGCAAACCAGACCCCATTTATTCTGGCATACACCTTAAAGTGCAGTAATGATAACACTGTTGACTTATATGACATTATATACATTTGTAACAATTGAAAGTGCTCAATTATGCATTATTATGTCAATTTGCACTATGTAAAACTGTTTAATCTGAATAAATGTGCACATTCTGTGAAGTACAGTGTTTGCCAATATTCAAAAATTTTAATATGAAAAAGGCAAAGCCTTAAAGCGAGCCCGATGTACTTTTAACGTGAAATATTATGATGCAGTGACGAGTGCGCGCTCCGCCCCTGTCGTTAAGGTAGACCATGGGTAATGCATTACCTCCACTTTGAAGAGTATTCAAATAGGCTTAAAATCGCTTTCAAACTACATTGAAATTGAGGGGCGTGGGTTCAAACCCCAGAAGGGGCAACTTTTTTTCCTTCTTTTTTGCCTTTTTTTTTACATTATTTATGTATCTCTCTGATCCCTTATAGAAGAAAAAAGGGTTTGATTTAAATTATATAATTAATTGTAGGTATTTATTTGCTAAATAATCCCACAATTCATAGCAAATATGATACCAGATATATTCAAAGTTTAATAAAATAAAAACTACACGGTAAAAGTATTTTATATTTCACATGATCAACCAATATACCTTTAAGAAAATTTAGGCAAACTTTGAAAACAGCATCTCATTATGACAAATTTTAGGAATATTTTGAATAAGGCATTTTAGATAGGGAAATGGTAAAATTAGTGTTTAAAGTGGGTGGGGTAGGGTAACATTTTTATACATATAAAGAACATTTTGTTTAAAGACAAACATTTTGCTTGTGTAATTTGTTACCTGAATGTTATTATTTGTTTCTTAACAATGGGCAATTGAAAAACATTTTTTATAATGATGATATTACATATTATTAAGAGTTTCCTCATTTCTGAAAATAAGCCCTTCTAATGGCAAAGTATTAGTTCAGAAATATATCCATAACTCATAAACCATACGGTAAATTTTATTTAAATTTTGCATACAGGTGACCTTGAAGACATATTACTGTCTTATGTTGTCAATTTTACAGTTCCTTGTGGTTCCCATTACCCATGGACCATGGTCTACCTTAAATGAATAACGAGTTTTGAAGACGTGGATAAAACTTTGTTTGTTTATTTTATTTCACACGATAATTTTTCAAGCGAAATAAAGATTATTAATTAAATAAATGTAAAACTTAAAACGTTTGCGACATTAAAATAGCGTACTTGATTTGATTATTTTGCACGTGCTGTTTGGCGCTACATTGTGACGTCACGTAAACAATACTTTAAACGTCTGTACAGCGTTAACGACTGAATAAAAGATGTTGGTGTTCGGATTCATTTTCTTAGTAAGACCATTTTCTTTCATTCTACATAGTTTTCACAACAAAGTTCGACAAAAAAATGTTTTTATTTAGCAGATTTTTTAAACAAAATGGCGCCTTCAATTTTCATTTTACAACTGTCATTCGATATTTTATACACAGCTTCCGTTATTCTGGTTCCCCGTCCAATTACATTTCCCGTAGACGTGCGCGGGTGACCAGTCTACACATCCGTTTTCAGTCAGAATCTCTCAGTTTTTGTCGTTATCTTTAAATTCGAAAAGTTGCGATGTGTCCAATTCGGTACTTCGGACGAAAGTTTTCAAAACCATCACTTAGCAGGTACTCGCGTTACCGTAAAGCTCGCTTTGCGAGCAGGCCCTTCGGGCCAGCTCGTCGAGCTCGCTATTACCTCCCTTGACTTGACAGTCTACTTACTCTACATAACTTGATAAATCCTACCAGTCACTTCAAATTTTGACTAACAAATGTAGAAGGAATGTTTATGGGCATATTTGGTTCAATTCAAACACATCTTATAAATTTGAAAATTTCCTTAAGGGGGGCAAGGGACCAAAAAAAATGAAAAGATTTGTTTTACAGTGTGACTAGAAACACAATTCCAAATATTTCAAAATCTGTTTCACAGGCAGATAACCAGTTGAACAGCATTATTAAATGATATATGACATACATTGAAGAAAATAATAGTTTGCATGCATTGCTCCTTCAAAAAATGACTGACAGCAATTTATATTTACCCCCACCCAGCCAAAATCACACCTAAAATATACCAATATGGGCAATCTTCATGAAAGTGCAGCATACTCCAGAATCCACCCAATTCCTTTAAAAGTATCAGTAACACGCAGGACAAGCTATGACATTTTCAGAAATGACCAATAAAGTGTCTGTCATACGTTTAGATTTTTCACAAAATTTATCTGAAATTTCTTACTTGTTTGGCGCCAACTGTCAAAGCTTGATTTCTAACTTTTTCACCTGCATTCGGAGAGTCAGAAATAAATACAAATCTACCAAAATGCTTTGTTTCGGGTAAAAACCCAAAAATACTTCTCATTTCCTACACACAAACAAGAAAGAATTACAATGACAGAGAAATATCAGAAGTTATCAGTACCTTCAAAACACCATGTCTGAGTTATTAAAAAATTTGACCGGGGCCATCAATCGAATATGTCCCCTGCCCCCTAAGGAAGGTGAATGTAAAAAAATGGGAAGTCGGTGTTTTGGCATCGCGTTGAAGTTGACAAATCTAAATGCTATACCTACATTTTATATTCTTAGTTGCACAGTGCATAGCGCTGTGATAAGGCTGAGAAATATTAAGGTAGAACGCGACACTTCGCGAACTTTCGAGTAGCGTCTTGAAAATTGGCATGCAAGTAGTTGACCATATTTCTGATTAGGTACCGTTGATTTTAATTCAATAGTTTCAACAAATTTTTGTAAACACAGCGTCAAAGTTGACCATCAAAGCCCGTTTTTGAACATGACGTCTTTGCGTATCCTTGGCAACTGTTACGGTTATTTCAACGCCATTGGAGGACAAAATATCTTAAATTCTACAGCATTCAATGTAAATTATTTTTCCTTTTAAGCTGAAAATTCATTATTTTTACGCCGAAAAATGTTTGAAAAATCGAAAGAAAATTGTCAATTTTGTGTAAAATTTGACGGTCAGTATAGCCGCATTTTTCGGCTTTAAAGCGGTTTATTAAAAAGTTCCTGAAATAAATTTTTGATTTTTTTCTTTAAACGTACTAGTACTTTAAAATGTATACTTCAAAATAACTAAAAAACTTATGGGTCACCGACTTGAATTTTTCGGTACACGTGATTTTATTTCCCCAGCCCCTTGAGTATTTTTTAGCTAGTATAGCGCGAAAAGTTTGTCTTTACGTTGCGTTTATTTTTGTGAGAAGCATATTTCAAAGTGTAAATGTATTGCACAGGAAAATCGTGGTGTATTTTATTTTGGGATGTTTTCGAGAGGCGAATCAGTCTACCGGACACACTCGTTTAGTAAAGACGTACAAAATTAAATTGATAAGTTTGGGTGACCACGTGGCAGAAAAAGGACAATAAAGAGAGAGAAAATGATCTGTTGAGTAGAATTGATGGTTTTGTTTCAAATAAATTGTCGGAGATTGAGAAAACAATGACTGAAGCTCAAATACGTATCTCAGAAACTCAGCTTGAAAAATTAAAGCTAAAATTGGATACATGTGACAATTATCAGTTTCGAAAGCGGGGAAACGAGGAACTGTTCAAGCTTGAAAAGAAAATGCTTGGAAGTTTGGCTGAAGCAAGGAACGAGCTCAAAGACGTGTTTCTAGTGGATCGACTAAAGCAGAGGCAGCCACAAAGAAAGTAATTGAAGGTATGGACACTTTACGTGCCGTCAAAAAATAATGAAATTGGCTTATTCTAGCGACCTAAGATGGCGTGTGGTTAAAAAATATGAAACGCATTCACTTGCAGAAGGATCCGATGACGAAAAGAAAATGTATCGGGCACAGCTGCAGGCGAATCGAAAGGTCAGACAAGAAAGGCGTTTAAAGTCGAGGCGTTTTACCCCTTACATAAATCCAGGATCAAGGGATGCAACGGCTACAACGTCTGCTCCAGCTCCAGTTGGCGTTCGGATTCAGACACTCGGGCGAAAATCAGGGCTTTGTTTTCGGTGCGGGAGGCCAGGTCATTGGCAGGCAGATTGCAAGGTCAAGGTTACAGAGGCAAATGAATCAAGTGTAAGCCAGTTAAATAAATTTTTTCAGAAAAAATATCAGATTTTGTTTTAGTAAAAGCAAAACTTTAACAGTCAAAGTACAAGTATAGTAGAAACAAGAGTTATGACCCCTGTTAGTCGACTTAGAGAAATATATCACATTGGAAAAGGGCAAATGCAGGTAATTATTGAAAACAGCTATAAGTTGCTCTTTAAAGTAATTCCTGAAAACGCATATTTAATAAAAACAACAAATCCGCTTGAGATAATGCTCAGATTGTAACATCTGAGATAGATAAGCTGTTGCAAAAATGTTGTATATATGTGGTGAAAAAGGTTCCTTTTGTTATTAATCCATTAACAGTAGAATTTAACGGGTCAGGTTAGCCGCGTTTGGTACAAGACTGCAGGCATATAAATATGTCATTGTTTAGATATAAATGTACGTTTGAGGATCAGTTGCTGAAACTTTTTAGAAAAGACAATTATCTATTTTCGTTCGATTTAAAGAGCGCCTATCACCATATTATGATCGGTACCACGTTTTACCATTTGGTATCCTGTAGCAGGTAACATATTAACGAAGGTGATGAGAGCTGTTGTGAAACACTGGCGTTCCAAAGGACAAAATATTATAGTTTTTCTTGACGATGGTCTGGGTGGAGACGAGACATTTGATAAAGCTTTGTCTTTAGGTCAATTCATTAAAGAGATTAACAGCTGTTCGGTTTTGTTATGCCCCCACTTCTTGTATATTGCTTTACATTTGTCGGTCTGTAGACCAAATTGTTTCCGAGTGATAACTACAGAACGCTTAGGCCTATTAACTTCAAACTTGGTATGGTGATTGGTCATGATCAGTAGATGACCCCTATTGATTTTTGGGTCAAGGGGTCAAAGGTCAAGGTCACATTGACCTTGTAGGTAAAAACAGTTTCCGATCAATAACTAAAGAACGCTTAGGCCTAGGAACTTCAAACTTGGTATGGTAATTGGTCATGACCACTAGATGACCCCTATTGATTTTGGGTTCGAGGGGACAAAAACCATTGTAGGTAAAAACGGTTACTGATCAATAACTTAAGAACGCTTAGGCCTAGGACCCTCAAACTTGGTATCATGATTGGTCATGACCAGCGGATGAACCCTATTGATTTTGGGGTCAAGGGGTTAAAGGTCCAGGTTACTTTTACTTGTAGTTAAAAACGTATTCCACTCTATACCTAAAGGGCGCTTAGGTCTAGGAACTTCAAACTTGGTATGATGATAGGTCATGACCAGTAGATGACCCCTATTGATTTTTGGGTCAAAGGTCAAGGTCACATTGACCTTGTAAGTAAAAATGTTTCCGATCAATAACTAAAGAACCCTTAGGTCTAGGAACTTTAAACTTTATATGATGATTGGTCATGACCAGTAGATGACCCCTATTGATTTTAGGGCCAAAGGTCAAAGTCACATTGACCTTGTAAGTTAAAACGGTTTCCGATCAATAACTAAAGAACACTTAGGCCTAAGAACTTCAAACTTTATATGTTGATTGGTCTTGACCAGTAGATGACCCCTTTTGATTTTTGGGTCAAGGAATCAGTGTCAAATTGATCTTGTACTTTAAAATGGTTTATGACCAATAACTCAACAACTCAAGTTGCCTTGGTTGATATTTTTACATTACACATTTGAAGGTCTAAGTGATATGTCAACTTGGCTGTCATTAATGAGGCCTACATGATTCATAAAATGTATGCATATTTTATTTGGTATGATTTGTAATAACTTAAATTGCTGCACACAACCTATGGGGTCACAATAATTATTACCTTGTGACTAGTCATGACCAGTAGATAACCCTTATTAATTTTTTTTATGTTCACTGGGTCAGGAGTCATGCATAATAACCTGATCACATGACTAATTGGCTTTCCATAGGGGGCATACATGTTTTACAAACATATCTTGTTTTAAAAGAAGATAAATGTACTTTGTCTCCAACACAGGTTTTTGTTTGTTTGGGATACGTGTGGTATACCATATCAGGTTTGTTATCTGTAACAGAAGAACGCATGCTTCGTTTTGAAAGGTTAGTAGTTTCGATAATCGACCAGAACGCTGATTAGGGTAAGAAAATTAGCTTGTTTGGTCGGACAGTTGACATGTGTGATAGGTTCAGTTGTCAGCCTTCAAAAATTTGTGGGGTAAGCATAGTATTGATCGCTTTGCCTATAGTTACAAAACAAAATGTCCAAATTTCAATTCTAGATTTTTGTGTCAAGGTACTAACGGAGTGGATGCTTTCAGGTAAGTTTGGTCAGGACATATAAATTGGCTCGTGCCACCAAAGAGGCTTGTATATAAATGTATTAAAAGCAATAGGAGACAAGTGCGTTTGTACCCTGGTGGAACCGATTGGAGATCAGCATGTTTATGGCCTTTGATCTTTCCAGATGGCGAAAATCAAGCGTTTTACATAAAAGACTTGTTTCAATTAGAAGAGGCAGAGGAAAGAATGAAATTTTCGATGGAAGGCCTTTAATATTTGGCCTTTTAGCGTTCAGAATTGTGACAAAATAATATAATGCTCTTATATATTTTCAGGTTTGAAGCTCAAGGACACGATTATCGACCATGTTAACCAGACAGAGGTAGCGTTAGACTGTTTCGGTGATTTGCCTGATAAAATGGCACAAAAATTATTGGGTTCACGAAGTGACAGTACAAATATTGAGTATATTTCATATTTCAAGAAATGGGACAAGTTCATTCTGAGAAGGGATCCAATTCTTTACCAGCGTCTCCTATTCACGTTGCATTATATTTTATGGATTTACTAGAAAAAACGTTTTTCTGATCATGTGATTTCAGTAACTGTGTATAGTTGAAAGGGGCGCATGGCTTAAAAGGACTTTCAGGTCCGTCTGAAAACTCGTTCGTAAAATAATTATTAGAAAATGCTAAACGGAACAATTCTAAACCAACATCTAAAAAAGCCTCTGTCTACACAGACATTGATTGACGTTTGTTCTGAATATTCAGAATCTTCAGACATTTTAGTTGTCAGAGATATGTCTATGATTTTAATAGGTTTCGCAGGCTTTATGATGTATGATGAATTGAGTTCACTCGGGTGTAACGATATTGATTTTCATGATGACTATTTTTGTCTGAAAATTTGGAAAAGTAAGACTGACCAATACAGATAAGAAAATGAAATAGTTATAAGTAAAGGAATATCTGTTACTTGTCCTTAGGCGTTATATAAGTTTGTTCAGTCAGACTATATTTGAAATTACTTACTCAGGCCATGTTTTAGATCAAATTCTACTTGTAAATTTATTTACAAAAACAAACCGTTAAGTAACTCAAGGGATAGGGAAAGTATTATAGGTAGATTGCGTTCATTTACGGAGGATTTGAACATCGGTCTTCATTCACTACGGTCTGGTGGGGCAGCCTCAGCTGCCAATTCCGGAGTTAATGATAGATGTTGGAAACGTCATGGTCGGTGGAAGTCCGACATTAGTAAAGACCGTTATGTGGCAGATTCTTTGTCAAGCAAACTTGTGGTGTCTCAAAAATTGAGTATGTTGTTAATATACTACTATACTATATCGGCTATGTTCAAGTCCTTACTTTGTTTTGTCTACATGCTCGTCCGGCAAATGCATTTATGAGTTGTTTTTTATTCATTTATTTCTAAAGATGGTAGACTGTTTGTTTGTTGGTGCACGTTTACATTAAGTATAGTTAAGACCAGAACAGAACAGAAGTTTAATTGAAGATTTAAGCATACAGCCCTTCGTCATAACATACATTTATACACTAAAATCATATAAATTAAAAAGAAACGTTACAACAAAAGTGTTGTTAAATTGGTAAGTTCTATGTCTAAAGCATGTTATACAGTAAATTGCACGATTTAACTGTTCAATATATTTAAACATACTTGGGCGTGTATAGTAGAATTATGGGATATATTTTCTCTTGTTTTCATGATTAAAACAAAGTGGAATTTGTCCTCGATATCATCTGAATTGCAAATAACACACTCACGTCGATTACTTTCAATATTGTTATGCCGACCAGTTTCAATATTCTGATTGTGTGAATTTAGTCTTAATCAAGAAAAAGCATTTCTGTATCTAGGAACATCGTAAACAGTGAAGTACAGTGCAGAACAAATAAAAGAACAAAAAAAAAACAGATTTTATCAACATTCAACAATTTCATTAGCAATTTGATATAATCTAAATGATCAGCCATAAGTTTAGAATAGTTTATTTTGATAAATAGACGATGCATTTGTAAATTTAAGAAATTGAGTAATTAACTAGAACGTTCCTGCGTCTAAACATTAATTCAGTCATATCAAATTTGAATGGCCCTAAATGAATCATTCGATTCCGACAAAAGAAACTTTCGTAAACAAGCATGCGAATTTAACCAACACTTGCATTTAGGTGTGTTGAAATGCGTCAATATGATATATCTTCCTTGAAAATACTTGGTAAAGATGTACGAAGAATTACTAGTGTCGTTATTAAATTCTATGGTTAATATTCTCTTTCTATTCCCATACCTAAAGGCTTTTAATAAACGTGATTTTCAAGTTGTTTCAACTTTAGCATGACATTAAGCGTGATTTCATGTTTGCAATAGATAGAAAGACCCTGGCAGGATTAACTAATTCAATGGACAAAAGGCGCATACAAAACTCTTCTGTTAAAAGTATCATTAGACGACGTTTTCATCAGTAATTTAAATTGAACCAACAAGTCTTAACAATAAAATCTATTCTCTGTATATTACATAATTTTACACAAATGATATTGTACATTTTCTTTGATAATTGGATTGGCGAGGTAGTAAGTGTCTTTTAGCCAGCTTACGATATTATTCAACGATGTTTTAGTTCTATGGCATTCCAAATTATGTATAATGAAGATAATCGTGATTTAATTACTTTGACCTATCTTTTTATTGTTTGAAATACATTTTGTGAAATGAGAAATATTGTGGGGTGAGATTAACTAGATTTCAAAAATGTATTTAAATAAACTAGATTAAAATATGTATGATTTCTCTTCCCATCAAGGAAATGTTCTTATAACTTCTAAAGATTTTGTAAAAAAAATAACTTATACAAATATTAATGTCACTATATGGCAAAAGTCAAACCGGAAAAAAGGATGAAATCAGACAAACTGAATACAAAAACATATTCATGAACATGCATCTTCACATGTTGTCTTATTTTTATTTATTTACTTATTTATTTGTTTATTTGTTCGTTTGTTCGTTCGTTCATTCATTCATTCATTTATTCATTCATTCATTCATTCATTTATTTCAAATGACAATTAACTTTGATTTCATAGGTTATATAAATCTTTTTAGTTTTCTTACAGTAGATATTTTTTGTGATAATAGATACATTTCTTAATTCTTTGGAATAATCATATCAATGATTTTCAAGTCCGACGTGGTTGAAAAAAGAATTTCTAAAAAAAATCATCTTTTCCTTTCCTTTATATACAAAGCTATATAGACATCTTTTGTTTTTTGTTAAAAGTTTTTTCCGAGCACCACCGCGACTGAGCGCGGTAATTATAAATATGGCTAACCTGGTAGCGGAAATACCGTTTTATATTTATTCTAATAATATGTACAAACCGTGTATTTTGGGTTATATTGGATAAGTCGATTATGATTTTATACTGGAATTATTTAAAAAGTTAAGAAAACTGTACCTTATATCTTTATGGTAATCTTGGCCAAATAAAGATATAAAGGCAACTTATGCTTTTGTCTTTTACATAATTCTTTCTCGTTATTGTATATGAGCATATTCTCCGTTATATGCAATGCAATGATTTTTTCATGCGTGGCCACACAGCTTTTCGTAGCCTCTCTCTGCCTGTTTCTCTAGTCACTTTTGCCAATGCATGTATATTTAATATGATTTGGTGTTTGTATTTAGCTACAGCTTAAAACAATTATCGTACCTTTAAAATCATTGTTCTATATATTTTTATATCATTCAAATACCCATAACAAATGTGTAAGCTAGTAGAAGATGTGTGATAACTGCTTGTGTGTGCTTGATCATTAAGAGGATTATTTAAGAACAATTTTGTGTTCCGATTCATTTATGTATTTGATTAAACATATTTATTTAAGCTCGATTGCGGAACAAGTTCTTGCAACATTTTTTTTAGACTGCTTCCTGGAGCCAACCATTACTGGTTTCATATGAAGTAACATGGTCGTGACCCGAGTAGGGCTCGAACCAAGGATCTCTGGGTTGAGAGGCAGACACCTTAACCACTAGGCCACCGCTCCCCTAACCATCTATGTATTGGTTGATAAATATCTGCTTTAGACAATTAGAACTGTTTATGTTACCAATCAATTATCCATTTGATATATTTTGCTGTGTTGAGTGTAAAATAGACCAGTATGACGATATATTTATAGATGGTTACCAGTTCTTTAAACAACCTAGAAAACAAGCTTTTATACGAAAGTCCGGTGGTCTGTGTATTTTTGTAAAGACCGGTCTACATGATCAAATAGAAATTATTGATTCTAGCTCCGATTATATTTTGTGGTTAAAAATTATGAATTGTACACCTGTAAGTCGTAAACATGTTATTATTGGTGTCATGTATATTCAACCAGAAACTTCAAAATATTTTAACCAAGATGAATTATTAATTTTTGAAAATGAAATGATTGATATGTGTAATGCAAATGAATATGTGCTCTTAACCGGTGATGCTAATGCCCATATTGCAGAAGATTTCACTGAATCGGATGATTTTTTAACAAACCTTTTTGATTTTGGAAATGACTTCGTAGAATTTTTTAATCAAACAGATATATTAAGCCAGTTAGGGTTGAGCATTCTAAGGACATCTAAAGATCATAAGATCAATTGTATAGGTCGGTCTTTAATTAATATTTGTAAAAATAATAATCTTTTTGTAGTAAATGGTCGTTTTAGCCACGATAAAGACATTTAAAATTTTACATTCAAAAACATGTCGGTAATCGACTATACCATTTCGTCTGCAAATATACTGAAATATTTAAACGATTTCAAAATTAATGAATTAGATTGCATTTTCTCAGATGGACACTCTTTATTGTCATTAGAAATTAACTTTGTTAAAAGTGATAGCAATGGTGTCAACAGTCCGACTGCAAATAGCAACCCGATTAAATGGCAACCCAGCCGAAAACACGAGTTTATTCAAAAAATTAATTTGAATAAGGTAGCGAGCGTAGAATTCCTATTAAATAATTTTCCTTTAAGCTCGAATCCAAATTTATCGCTTAATGATATTGTAGAGGAAATTACTCACATTTACAACGAATCTGCAAAAGCTGTTTTTACAAAGTCTTATTCGCACGTTAAGACAATAAGGAACACATGTAGGTCAAAAATCAAAAATAAACCTTGGTATAACAAGCGAGCAATATATAACCGCGCACGGAAAAAGTTTAACTTGAATAAATCTAATAATAATCGGTGTCTTCTCAACCATGCAAGTAAAGATTATAAACACACAATGAAATTTTACCTGAATAAATATACGTTAAACAATCAGGCCAAGCTAAGAAAAATGCAAAAATCCGATCCCAAATCATACTGGAAATATTTAAATAGTCTTAAAACAAATAACCAGAGCAAAATGCCATCAATTAATGAT